TGGTCTACCATATAGCCTCTTATCAAAATTAATGATATCCCCAATGGCCACCTAACAAGCCATTCTTATAGCCATCACATAAGTCTCAACAGAGCCATAATATTTGTGTTCTACAATAGGTATTGGTGTCAGATGCTGTGAAACTGTGGTTTACTCTTTGGTATAGCCCGATGCCTTGCCTTTCAAGTTGATCTTCCCCCTCAATTGTACAACATAAAAGTTTCATAATTATAATTATATTACAAGATTCTAAACAATTATTTAAACCATACCTTTTTAATTCCTTTGGTGACAATCGGTCCTTTGCTGAATTTGGCATTACAACTGTCACAAGGTGCTTAGGCCAAGCAATGAAGTGCCCCACTGCATCTCCTACCATCCACACCTCATTAATAGGAATAGTCAATGGATGCTTGTGATCGATTGCAACAAGTAGAGAAACCCTCATGTAATCGGGCAGGAAAGGATGGTTATGGATTGTGTTCATAGGAATGTTGTACATGCACCCTTTGCATTCAGGATTGTCTCCTAAACAATTGCAATCATTCTCACCCTAAACAAACAATGATAGTCAGTTTTTAAGATAAAAAAATTAAATAAAGTTAGAAGATAAAACATATTATCTTGGTTAGTTTTTCTGAAGGGACTGTGCATCTATCTTTCCTACTAGGGCTATTCTCACCCAAAATCCTTCTAGCTTTCAGTATGCCCCAACTACAACAAATATCATCCCTTATCTCACCATGCATTGTCCAATACTTGTAACTTTGATCCATCCCATTAATCACTAAGTGTTCTTCACAAGTATCTAAACTAACTTGCTTCACAAGCCTGTACTTTAAATACGGGAAAACAATTCTAGTAAGGTCATCCACATGCTTAACTAAAAACTTAACGAAGTCCACCACTCCATCCCAATATTTCTTGGATAGACAATTGGTAGACATCCATTCCTTATCCATAATTTCTACAAAGATTAAGAGGGAAATGTGATTAGTAACTTTGACTACTCTTAGATACTAGGAGAGTTAGATACAAAGGATAAATTAGTTAATGAGTCACTAACCACATGTTTGCACATTCAATCATTAATCTTGTTTTAAACTAGTAACTATTTTTTAATGCTAGACATTGAAAAAATTTTGACAGCATAATGGCTTAAAAAAGAGTTTCCCAAGCTTTATACCCTCTCTTTATTAATTCGTTTGACAACAACAGCAACAACAAGAACAATCACATAAAGTTATACCCAAGAACAATTTAAAAAAAAGTAGTATAATAGTTTAAAAATGACTATTACCCAAGCTTTATGCCCTTAGAAAAATCATATTATTCACAACAAAGACTATATATGGTTCAACAACAACAATAACAACATCAATAAGAAGCCAAATTTTAATGAAAATCATATAATCCACATCAAACACTACATATATCAACTTAAAAACTCAAAATTATTTTCATATAAGGCAATTTCCAATCAATTCAGGCACTAGCAATGTGAAATTGACAATTCAAGAAATAAAAAATCTAAATTAATCATTCAATTACAAAATAAGCACCATCAAGCACCAAAACTCTAAATTTCAAATACCCATTAGCAAAAACACAAATGGAGGTCAAAATAATCAATATTGAAACCACCCACTGTGTATATAAATTAAAATCAACAACCCATGAACTCAAAATGAGGAATAATGATTGGGAAGCAAGAACCAACCTCAAGAAGAAGAGAAGACAACAAAAATGGAGAAATGGCAATCATGAGTGTGACAAATCCACCACATGAGCTTAAGATTGAGGCCGATAATCCAAAGCCCACTATGAATTGAGTGCAAAATCATGTTTTTTAGCTGTTGGAGTAATAGAATATGGTTTTCTGGGGGCCTAGGTGTGTTTCTAATGACTTTCGTGTTGCAAAAATGTAAAGAGGAAAGGGTTTTGGAGGGGAATTTAAAACATAATACTTGATGGTTATTTCAAAATAACTGTCAAGTATTACAATGTCAAGTATGTGCTAGACATACTTAATAGTTGTTTTATAACAAGTGTCAAATAAATATGTTTGTTCAATTTTTTAAAATTATCCATTTGACACTTGTTTAACAATGATCGTCAATTATATTATGTATATATTTGATGGATATCTTTAAACAAGCATCAAATAGATAATAAGTATTTATTTAACAACTATTTCCTAATAGTTGTCAATTATGCGTTTAAATATTTGACAGTTGCTTATAAACAACTGTCAAGTATTCTATGCATTTTTTATTTGTCATTTTTCTCAAATAACTGTCAAGTATTGGGGCGTCAAGTATCCCCTTCCTATGGCAGTGATACTTGACAGTTAAACAACTATCAAATATATGGCCCTATACTTAATGGTTATTGGCAAATGTCAAGTATAATATACCAGCAGAAATGGTTCTGGTCCAAAGTTGAAAAAGTATATTCAATGGTTATCTGAAATAATTGTCAAATATGCCTACCTATATTCTACAGTTATTCAAATAACTGTCAAATATGTTTTGGTATTTTTTTTTAAGTGTGGCATCTATGTTTTAATCAATCCCCTGCAACAAAATTGATAATTTACTCCTAGAACAGTCACCAGACAATCCAACAAGAATTATCATCAATAACATTGTTTCCAAATTAAAAGAAAATATATATACATTGCAAACAACCCCAAATTCAACCATAAAACTTATTCCTTGTGCTCAAAAAGTCACAAATCTTATTCCTAAATTTCAATCCTATCCTAAAAAATGAAATAATAATCCTATCCTAAATCACATTCCTTTTGCTGCTAGACCAAATGCACACTCATTGAGAATTAATGAGTGAATTTTGCATGATCCATACTTGAAATATGTGTTGATACCACTCTTCCACAACTTCATTGATGTTAGCATCCCCAAATTCTTCACAATACGTGTCATCATATTATTGCAATTTGAATTATAACCACAACAAAGTTACCTAACTAATTAAATTTTGTTATAAATAAAATGTAGTTAAATTAAATATGAACCTTGGTAGGGGTTGGAGTCTTGGCATGAGTGATGATTCTCCAATGAATCTCATCATGCAATATCCATAGTCCACTGAATCTGGTCTTTGACGTGTGCACTTTTAAAAACCAATAAAGATATATTAAAAAATTACATAATTGTTAATAAATACTTGAATAATTAATGTTTAAACATATACCCTTATTACTGTCCATGTGAACAATTGGTCAAACGGTTTGACCTTGGGAATAGTTAGAGATTCATCCATGTAGTACAAAGACATAGCCCTAACAAAACAGAAGTTGGCGTAAGAAGTTTGAAATATAAAAAAAAAACACAAGTATGAAACTTAATTAATGTGCTTACTTGTTGATTAGTTCCATCATCTTTGTGATTATGCAAATAGATAATGGAGAAGATGATGAGTCTCTAACAAAAAGGTGATTTTGATTTTGAAAAAAATTATTAACCCGCCCTTCAGTACAAAATGCCTAGCCCTAAAAAAAGTTTGTTTTTTGGGGGGGGGATGGTCTTTAACCCTAAAGTATATGTATGTTTGGAATTGTTTTAGTAAAGATGATTTTATCTCTAACTTTTATTAATAAATTTGTATTTATGGTAAAATATCTATATATATATATATATATATCACCAATTTTATTTTATGTTGGTTTTTATCTAAATCTCTAATCATATAAATGACTGAAAATATTTTTGGCTTTGAGTCTCATAATCGGTGGTAACATTTTAAAGAGTAAGATGATAGATTCTATTCTTTTTTTTTAATTATTTTGGGCCAACCATAGACTGCTTTTGATTCTCACACAGGGCATCAACTACATACACTAAATTAATCTTTCTCGAATAATATTGAATACTCTAGTCCTAATATATCGCTACATTGATTTAAACTCTCAGAAAAGAAAACATCTTGTCATTACATCAAATATTTGAATGGATTGCATAATTGTCATCATCAACATTTCTTTGATCGTATTTCAAAGCTCTAGACTTGACCATCCGTCTGTTCTTCTTCTGTTAGTAATTTTGGGTGTGTATGTGTGTTTTGAAAATTGTGTAGTGTTTTCAATACTCCATAGTCGTCGTGGTCACTAATGTGGAAATATATATTTAAATGCTATATTTGTTATCTAAAATGATAATGACACTCCAATAGCGCCTATTTAGTGGAGCACTTCATAACAATTAAAATCCAACAGAATTTTTGGTATGAAGATTAATTTGATTTTTCCATAATCATTCATAATGGGGCATTTTGAAGTTGTCACCTACCAACTTGGTTGACTTTCAGGTCAACCCTACAGGTCAATCTACTAATTATATTTTGATGTACATACAACGAATAGCAATTTGGAATTGCTTTGTAATTCACATATATTGACAAATGTTATAAACAGAGGTGATAACTTTGGAATTGGAATAGTAGTGTTGATAGTTGGTGTAGTGGTGGTAATGATAATGATGATAGCAGATGAATGAAAGAAGGTGGTGGTGGTGGAATTTTTAGTTCTTCAAGTTTCCATTTATTGAAGTTCAAATTACTTATTACGCGGGTCTTCTTAATATCGACAACATTTTGTTGATGCTAAAAATGAATATGATGCAAAACATTATTTAATTGTTATCTGTTAAAAAACTCTTATTCTTTAGCTAGATTTTTCTTCTCGAATGCACTGGGCGCAATTACTGCATGTTTCACGGCAAAGTCCCTTCACATAAACATATATCCCAAAAGTCTTTAGACTTCCAATATAAAAATAGATATTATTTACCTAACATGCTAATTATAATTAATATTTTAGTTGAAGTTTTTTTAATCTTATTATGAGAGATGTCCTTCTAATTTTCTATCTGTCATTGTGTTTGCACACCTTGACTTGAGTTGGAATTGGAGAGGTATAAAATGATACGTGTTTTCTTAGATACACACCTTGCAATTTTGACAAGTTTGATATGCTCAACATGGAAAAATCTCCTTCCTTTGCTTTCCTCATGTTCTCACTCCATTGCTTCATATCCTCCTTGGCTTTGATTGATACAAACATCACTACTGATAAATCTACCCTTCTTGGCCTTAATTCTTTTATCACTTCAGATCCATATGATTCCTTATCTACTTGGTGTATCTCTTCTTCTCCATGCAATTGGGTTGGTGTCGCCTGCAATACTCGCCATGGAAGGGTCCATTCCTTGAATCTAGGTGGCATGGATCTCAAAGGCACCATATCTAAACTATTGGGAAATCTCTCATTTCTTGTTGAACTTGATCTTAGTAGCAACAACTTTTATGGTGAAATACCAAGAGAGTTAGTTCAATTGCGTAGATTGAAACTACTGAACTTGAGCTTCAATGACTTTCATGGAAAAGTTCCAGCATGGATAGGAGATTTATCTACAATGGAGCACTTAAATCTTCGAAATAATGGTCTTGTTGGATTAATTCCACTATCTGTGTTCAATCTATCAAGGTTAGAGACATTAGATTGGAATTTTAATTTAATTGAAAGAATCGTTCCTGTTGAGGTAGGAAGACTTGAGCGTTTGAAGGTTTTATGATTGGCGGGTAACAAGCTTTCGGGAATCATTCCCCAAATGATTTCCAACTTATCATCACTTGAATTACTGAGTTTGTCTTCTAATACTTTGTCAGGTATGTTTTGGAATTATTTTTTATACCAATATTTATTTTTGCTCTAAACTAGTCTATTTGGTTAGCATGATATAATCCCATGATGAACATCTGGAAGGATCTAGGTTTTTTCTCGACTATTTTATATTCTTTTTTTTTTTTGTATTTTTATGCATTTTTATCAGATTTCATTTTTTATAATTTTTTATCAATTTGTTTTCAATAAATCAAGTATCTACATGAAACTGAAGCAACAGGATATTTGTTTCTTTACTACAGTGCATTCCAATAATGGCTAGCATGAAAATAATAGTCTACTTTATCACCGAAGACATTTTGAAGGGTTTTCCCCCCTAAATGAGCAAAGCTTACAATACATGGACCTGGAACATTCAATTTTAATTTGGACTATTCAAATTATATTTTAATTATATTATTTATTATTAACTATTATTTCTTTTAAAAAATTTTGTCGTCAAATATTAATTTTCTGTTATGTATATTACTTGCTAAAATAAAAATAATAAAATTCAAAATTTAGATATAAAGAATTTATATTCAGTTTGTACATGAAATATATCAATTATCACATTTGCAACGTGACTTGGACTTGGAGAGAAGTGCAAGCTTCTTTTTCCTTCATTTTCATTTCTTTATTTTTTTCCCCCTTAAACCAATGCTAGATGCGAATGTTGCTTTTCCTTATTGATAATGACTAAATCCATTATAATTACACAAACCACCAAAAATCTGTGGCCTTCATTTTCATAATTGAAGTTAACTATTTAGAAAGTAAGGTGATATAACATAGCATTCACTTTTTCAATAATAATACTATTGAATTCACTCAAAAATAATAATAATATTATTGAATAACTCAGTTCTAATATTGAAATTTTTGTGTTGTTTTGTGCAAATTTACATCATTCTGAAAATAAGGTATTTGTTTAAATTCTAAGGAATATAACATTTGGATCAGGACACTTTAAAGGAAGCAAGGCAATATCTTCAAGGATACCCCGGAAGCGCACAAGACTTTATAACAATCATAACAATGCAACCCTCTACAACTTTTGTATATTTTATATTGGTTAGAAAAAAATTTAGGTGAGTTAAGTCTTCAATAACTGAGAACTTAAGAGTTAGGATATGCATTATAACTCCAAAAGTACTTACACAAATATTTACATTTTAACATCTACTAAGGATCTCACATCTGTGACCTACTTTAAGCACGTGTCTTTATAAGATATGAGTTATATTTTTATCAACTAGAAAAATAGTCTTCATTGGCCTAATATGTTGATATCCTATATGGGACTTAGTTAGTTAGTAATAAATTCAATTTCTGAAAATAATTATATTTCTCAACATTGTGAGCTTTATTTTCTAAAGATCAATATGATCATTAAGTATAAATTTTGTTTTTGAATCTTGCATCAATAAAAATAAATATAACTACCCCTATTGTCTTCAACGTAAAACACATGCAACACTAGATGAGAAAGTATTCATACTGTAAACATGAATTAAAAAAAATGCATACTTTAGAAAATTCTTCCTTATGCCTAATGCTCATGATACATATTGACATATTATTTGTCTTTTGATATTTGAAGGAGGCATTCCAAATGAGATTGGTCATCTTCCACAGCTACAGATAATATATCTTGGAAATAATCAGCTTTCAGGCTCGATGCCAACCTCATTACTTAACAGTTTGATGCAACGACAAATTGATCTTGGAATAAATCAATTGTCAGGGAGTATCACAACAAATGTGTGTCTTGGGCTACCAAAACTTGAATTATTTTATGTGGATAGAAATGATTTGTCTGGTAAAATACCCTCCATTTGGCATCAATGCAAAGAATTGGCAATGTTACAGTTAGGTGATAACATGTTCAACCTAGGAATCATTCCAAGTGATATTGGAAATTTGACAAACCTCCAACGCTTGTATCTTCCCTACAGCAATTTGCAAGGTAAGAGTTTAAATTATATGATTTTTTTATACCATGTGTGTCATTTTTTGTTTGTTTTAATCTCTCAAATAAAATGTTATTTTAAAATATGTGTTTCATGTTTGTGATGGATGCGTGCAGGCTAGGTGTGGTGCATGTATTTGTTTGTTTGTTCACATAATAGTGGGGCCAAAATTTGTGTAAAAACAAATCTCCAAATAAATCGTTTATCAATTTATGGAAAACATTCCCAATGCCATATAATTAACTATACATATTTAATAGAATTTTCTATGAAATATTTTATAATAAAGATTAATTATCTTAATTTGATAGAAATAACTAGTTAGGATTCCATGTATATACCTTTCATTTAAATGGCAATTTGCCAGAAGAAATATGTCATCATCTCACTTTGCGGGAAATCTTGGATGTTGATGATAATTATTTAGAGGGAAGCATTCCAAAATTAATAAGTAATTGCACAGTTTTTAAAGAATTATATTTGAGCACCAACTCATTTACACGTATGCACTTGTGTAATATGTGTGTTTTTCCCAAAGTGATTATGAATAAAATACCATTCAGCTCTGAATTAGAATATTAGATTATTTAATCCCAATGTGATTATGGATAAAATGACATATATGACATAAAGAATTATATTTGGGTGTTATTACATATATATCCATATCCGTATATGTATGTGGTTGGGCTGTTGGGGTAAATGGTGTTTGTTTTTCTTCCTAGTCTCTTGGATAGAAATAAATTTGAAATGAAATCATTTTGTTTACACATACATGTTTTCACGACACACACTCATGTAATAGTGAAATAAAATTTTAAATTAGTTATACATTTATGTATGTGTATTTTTCCTAATCTTTTTCATATTTAGTGAATCTAAACAAAAGAATTTCTTTGTCTTCATCTCAGTCATATTGTACATTTATATAATGATTTGATTTTGTATTTGAAATACGCGTATATTATTTTGTCATTTAAACTGAATAAATGAGCAAATTACTCTTTCTACTTTAGGTCAATAGCACTATAGACCTTGAACTCGTTTATTGTTTAAATTATTTCTTCAACTTTTTAAAATAGTGCAATTTGGCTCTTATGGTTAACAAAAGTTAACTTTAATCATTAGTTAAAAAAAAAGACATAAAAGGATATAAAGAATTAATTACAATAAATGACCTAAAAATTACAGAAAAAGACCAATTTTTTTTGGTGATTTTATGTAATTTTTGAGGTCATTTTCTATTATTTTATAGTCAATTATAGTTAGAATTAACTTTTGTTAATGGTAGGGGCTAAATTACATCATTTTCAAAAATTAAGGGAGCAATTTGCACAATAAACAAGTTCAAGGTCTATGGTAATACTGGATTAAAGTTCAGGAAATAATTTGCTCATTTACCCTTAAACTTTCTTGAGGGGTTTTTCAAAACGAGTAAGACTTACAAGGAACATGTATGGAACATTCAATTTTGCTTTGGATAATCTAAATTATATATTAATTTTATTATTTATTATTATTTTCTCAAAAATATTTTAGTTCTAGATTATATCATTTAATTCCAAAGTAAATTATGAATAATGATAGAATTATGTTTGGGGCTGCCTCATTTACAAATATGCCCATATCCGTGTAAGTATGTGTTCGTGTGGATCTGTCGATGTCGATGTTTGATTTTCTTCCTAATATCTCCAATAGAAATAAATTTTAAATGAGCTAGATTTGCCTTTTCATCATTTCATTCATTTTCTATATTCATATAATGTGGTGTGGTGTGTTTGCATGTCCACACACACACACACACACACACACATATTGATGACATGCATTTATGCTGGTCATGTGCTGAGTAGCCCATTTATTTTTCTATTTAATGTTTTTGATGTTGACCAACTCATTAGAACACGCATTAGTGGCCATTATTTTTTTAAAGAAGGAAAATTCTCCAAAAAGAAAAATAAATTTTTGGATAATAAAAGAAATTAGGGAGCCCAATAAAAATCAGCATGAAGAAACTTCACAGGCCTTCAACATTAATTTGATGTGGCCTAGTAATCTTCACGCTAATAATTTTCCCACTCATTCTAAGATATGAAATTCATCACTCTCTTCTCATCATACCATCCAACTTTTATGCTTTTAACAAATTTTGATGTTTTATTTATATTTCTGTGTTGATTATGTCAAGTCATTTGTACCTAAATAACATTGTGAATCAACAAACATATATTTGTGACTTGTTTATTTGTTTATGTGGCTATGTTGTGATTATCGCTTGAACATTGTTCTGTTATCCTTTCATATTGCATATATCCCCCTTTTTCCGGTTAAAAAAAATGATATTTTACATTTCATCATTTCATTCATTTTGAGACTAATGGTGTTTAGATTAGAGGGCTAAAATATAATTTATAAAATTAAGAGATCAAACTGAAATTTTATATAATGTTAGAGGATCAAAACTTGAATGTGTTTTTCTGTATACTTTTACAAAATAAGAATGTATTTTTTGGCCTTCCAAAACTTGAATAATTTTATGTCCATAAAAATGATTTGTTGGGTAAAATTATACATATATGGCTTCAATATAAAAGCATATATACCAAGCGATGGTGGAAATTCAACTAATTCCAAATTTACATTTTATGGGAAAAAAACTTGCAATGTTTTATATTTTTTTTTTACTAAATGGAATGTTTTCATTTTAACTATATCCATGATATGTTGATACAGATGCATGAATATTGAAATATTGTTTTAATATTTATATTCTCTAACAATACACCAGGATAGACTTTTCATTTATTATTTATGCTTTTCTATATTGCTTGCATAATTTTTTAACTGAAATTGCTTTAATAAAAATTATAGTATACTTGATATGTTTAACACAGTCCATTTTTATTAACCAATAACTTCAAATTTAATTTTTATGTGA